AGCCCCCCAGCTGAGTGCAGTGTTTCGTGAGAAATTGCTGTAGAGTGGTAGAGATGAGGGCTCAGGTTTTAGCTCTGCTCTCAAAACGCAATTCCTATTTTCGTGTTTCTAAACAAGGACTGAGGTACTATTCCAGCTGGTTCTGGTGCGGTGTGACAGTTGCCCACTAGTGACGCCACACATCACTGTATCACTGTGTTTGCACCTACCTGCTGGGAAATCCTGCAGACAGAATGGTGGCTTTAGCACACACTCGCGCTTTCTCCCTCCTCCCAGCTAACCCTGCCCTACCCCTGCAGTGCGTGTGGGCGTCGCCCATCCCCTTCTTTCTGCTGACGAAGGCACAAGGCACCAGACACCTCTCTGGAGTTGTACCCCCGTGGATGCGCCCCCTCCTCAGTGGCATGGAGGGGGCCAAGCAGACGGGTTCTGCAGCTTGGGCCTCTGCGGCAATGACCAGGACTAGGAGTTTCGTCCCCCACCCCCACCCCAGTCTCTTTAACTGAAGTACCTAGGGCCAGTCCCAGACCTTGCAGGTATTATGCGCTCCATGAGAGTACCTTTCACCTCTTTTTCAAGAGATAGGTGCTCACTGCACTGTCACTTCTCCCTATGGGGAGACACTTCTATTCCTAACCCGCAACAGCCTGCTCTAGCTTCCCACATGTTGCTTCCCGCCTCTCAACTGCTTCCCACTTCCCTACCACTTCCCATTACTCTGGGCTCCCACATTCCTGCATCTTTGTGGTCAGTGAGTAGCAGTTAAATGGGATGCAAAGGATACCCTGAATCCCGTGAGTTCCATAGAGCAGCTTTAGATCTAACTTTGGTTCTTTCGCCCATGGTGGGGGGTGTCTTTTTCTTACCTTTATCCTTGACCACGTCATTGGCATTCTGGGCGATGGCAATGGAGAGGTCTTTAGACCTCTCTCTCCTGGAACCACTTGACACCGCAATAGACATGGTGCTGGACTTGTCTTCGGACAGTACTCTGGAGTTGGCTCAGGGCACAACTCTGGGGCCCGCTCCTGGGCAGGTTCTAGGGCTGGATCTCCTGCTGGCTCTGAGGCTAGTCCTAGGGCCTGTCCTGGGGCAGGTTCTGGGATTTCGACTGGGGCCCACTCTGTGGCTGATTCTGGGGCTGGCTCTGGGGCCGGCTCTAGGGGAGGTTCTGGATTGGGCTCCAGGGCCGGTTCTGTGGCTAGTCCTAGGTCCAGCTCTGGAGCCGGCTCTGGGGTTGGTTCTCTGTCTGGTTCTGTAGCTGGGTTCTGTAGCTGAGTCGCCTCCGGACAGGGTCCTGGAGCAGGCTCTGGACAGGGCTCTGGTAGCGGTTCAGTAGAAGGGTCGCGAAGCGGTGGAGGAGCTGGTGGTGGTGGAGGAGCCGGCGGCGGCGGAGCAGGCGGAGGAGCTGGCGGTGGTGGCCACGGCGGCCGAGGCTCTGGACACTCTGCGGGCTGCTCTCCATCCTGAGGCGCGGCAGTGCCCTGGGCCACCGAAGCTGCACGGTCCATAGCTGCACAGTGCTTGGGGCTATGCAGCTGGAGCCCAGAGATCCCAGGGCTAAAGAGCCTTAGGGCGCCCCGCCTACTCCTAGCCTACATCCCCTGGTGGGGTGTCCAACTTTCCCTCACTGCACTCCATGGCTGGCTCAGCTCTGAGGTCTAACCCCGGGATGCGCAGCAGCGTCTTCTGCTGCTGGAACACGCCCCTCAGTGAGCACACACCTCTTCGTAAGCAGCTATGGGTCTGATGGGCGGGAAAACAGTCGGACTTGAGAGAGCGGACTGGGCAGAGCGCTTGATGACCTCCTAGCGACGCTGGCGGGGGGGGGGCAAAAAGGGGAGGGGGAGTGGAGTAGCTTGTGTGGGGAGGATTTGGAGCCCCGCCGGGTTTAACCCATTAGTGACTTGAATTGAAGAAAAAATAAAAGAGGATCTTTGCAGTCCCCCTAACCTGTACTCTATGGAGCTGCTGCCTCTTTATAGCTTCCATTCTGCGACTGCCCTGTCACCTCAGCAGCAGGTGGATCTAGCTTGGAACCAATCTCCTGACACCCCCACCCCCCAATCTCCAAGTCAGAATGGGCAAGTAATTCTTTTTATCTAACCCAGGAAAAGAAATTAACCTACAGGAGGTTGGAGAGAGGGAGAAGGAGAGGGAGAGGGAGAGGGAGAGGGAGAGGAAGGGGGGAAGGAAAGAGTCTCAGTTTTTTATTTCTGAGCTTTTGTCACATCAGAGCTGTTGAGCAAGTTGCCATCGGGTACAGGGTTTGCATGCTTTGGGAAAAGTGTGATGAGGGAAAATTGTAGCCCTGGCTTTGTGCAGTCTGCAGAGGTAAGCCAGAGCTCCAGACAGTCAGGCAAGAGTGCCCAGCCAGTGGTGGTAGATAAGCTATGCTCAACAGCTGAGGTTATGCTGATCTCTGCAGCTACCTGGCATCTATCTGATGGCTAGGCTTTGTCATAGGAGAGACTGTTTTTTGCTTTTAGCTGAACTTCCACAGGACTTTATATCTAACTTGTGTAACTTGTGTGCGTATGTGTGTGTGTTTGTGTGTGTTTGTGTATTTGTGAGCAAGCATATCTTCAGCTGGAAGAAATTCATTCTTTCAGACACCCACACCTTTTTTTTTTAACCTCCTGAAGTGCTCTGACGTTAGGGATGGGAAATTGTGATGCCATTCCCACCAACCACATCAGGAGACTTTGGAAGCTTTCAGTTGTTAGTCATGTACACATGCCTGAAACTTACAAGCCAATATGCTGCCATATAGAATTAAAATTTGAAATTTCCCATCAAGCCACAGCTGTGTGGGGGAGGAATACCTATAAACCTAATTTGAAATATGACAAGTGAATTTATCTCCCACGTAGAAAATGCTGCAGCTTGATGGCAACCCTCCATCTGCAGCCCCTCCTCCATCAATCGTCTCCCAGGGTATATCATCCCCATTCTTTTGTCAGCTGACTGTTTCACCCATAATTTTCTAGAACTTGCAGAATTATTTTGTTTCCAACACCATATCCTGGCAATAAATAACACCACAGAAGAAAATAGTCTCATATAGCCCCCTCCAAAGACCATAATCTCAGATGCAGTCAGCATTTCCCAGACCCTGGCTGCAGAATCTTCACTTAAGCCTACCCATCTGAAGATATGTCACACTGCTTGACAGCTACTAAGCCCTGTCCAGGCACCATCTCTAACCTCTAGGGCAGGAGAAGCCCAGGAGAGCTGAGCCCTATCAACTCTCTTACTTGACAGGACTCTTTCCAATAAATCCACCCTATGGGCCCACCCTCTTCACCTTCCTTGGGGTTTTTGTCCTCTCTTCTTCCCCACAGTCAAACAAACAAATGATATTAACCCTGAGAGTTCAGAACTAAAACCCACAGGTGTCACATCTAACCAGTTGGTAAGCCCAGGCTTGGAGCTCACTGTTCAGGTTTTTACACCTTGGTGAAAACCCTGTCCTTAGAAAGGGTGGGTATCCTACTTTCAAAGGTTGCTTTTACTAAGCCTCAACATGGGGTCAGAAAGGCTGAAATCTGTGAATTACAGAATAAGATGGCCTCTTGGGTTAGAGAATAACAGAAAATTTTGGAACAGATAGTGTGTTGTCAAGCAGGACAGCACCAGGGGACAACTTAAAACTATTAATGCATGTTCATTGAACTCTTGTATATAATTTTGTATATGCTCAGTCACAACGGGTCTGAAATTTATAATGTGATCTCTTGCTGTAAGATCAGTTAGAGGTTTTAGAGGTTTAGATGACTTTTGTTCCATCAGGGTGGGGTTACTGGGCATACATACTGCCCAAATTGTATTATGATTAGGTTTGAGGCTTTTAAATGATTTATCAGCATATCAACAGATAACTGTCATAGTGAGATAGTGAGGGACAAATTTGTTTGTCTGTTTTGATCTCTATTTTGCCAAGTATTGAATGCAATGCTTTATATGTCTGGGTAGCAGTTCGGAATTAAAATGGTTGATTAATATCTGATTTGCAGAGGCACCTTTGTTGCATATAGTATCCTTCCTCTCTTCCATAACCTTTTTAAACAGAAAGGACGTTGCTTAGATGCTTGTGTATTTTCCTCAAAACTCAGGCCAGTGATGAGGCCATAGTGAGGTTCAAGAAATGCTTACTAACCAGCTAATTCATTTCTGCACTGATTTTCAGCAGAATTTGGCATTTCAGATAACTAATGAGAGCCTAAAAGGAAGCTGGAGAAGTATCACAAAATTCAAGATCTTCTTTCTTTTCTTCATTTCATTTTCATTATTGAATGAAAGTGACAATTACAGTGCAAGAGTTAGAAGCCCTTTGCCTTGGACCGAGAGTTTCAAATCCATTAATTCCTCCCTTTTAGAGTAATTTTGAAATAAATCAGTACCTCTTCTGAGTCTTAGCAGTTGTCTACCTTCCCCATCCTTGCCATATTGGCAATGTTCAAAATCAAATTAGCAATCTATATAATAATTTTCTAAGTAAAACAGAGATGGGGTGAAGAACAACATTTATGGAGAAGGTAGAAGATTCTGACAATTTCAATGAGATTAAAATGCAAACTTGTTATCCTTCACTCAGTTTGATTTCTTAGAATTTAACTGATGTAGGGTTGTAGAGTTAAAAAAGTTGCATTCATGTGTTTGTTGGCTTCTAAACTATATCTAATGTTATCTCACTTGAACCTCATAACAAATTCATGAGGAGTACGTCTGGATTTCCATTGCACATCTCTACCCCCCAAAATTTTAAGTCAAGAAAATTGAAGTCCAGTGAGATTGAGCACTGTGTCTTAGGTCACAAAGATAATTAGTGATGGAACGGATATTTAGAACTTGTAGCACTCAACTCCCCAATGAGAAAAACCAGTGTACCAGAGTACAGTGCTGATCTGGGGACTATAAGTCAAGGGCAGTGTAAATCCTCTCTCTATTAGAGTAAGAAGCTGCCTTAGTGCTTAACCAAACTCACTACAGGAGTTCCCTGTTTAGGGGTATCTTTAAAATATGCAGGTAATATAATCATCCACCCACAGTGTTGTTCTATTTTTATGTTTCCTTGAAATCAAGAACTGCATGGTTAAGATATACTTAGTGCTGATCTAAACTGTATATAGCCCTATAGCTATGGCAAAGGATGGAAGGAGGCACAAACATGAGAAGAATTATTCCCACAAGAATTAGAAGAACTTGAGGGTCAGTGAGATGGCTCAATGGGTAAAGTCATCTGCTGCCAAGTCTCATAACTTGTGTTCAATCCCCGGGACCCACATGGTAGAAGGAGAGAACTGATTCCTGCAAGTTGTTCTCTGACCTGTACATGTGGGTCATGAAACATGTGTACTAATACACACACACACACACACACACACACACACACACAAATAAATAAATGTGTTTAGAACTTAGTGGTTGAGATAAGCCAATATAGGTAAAAAAAAAATCACAGATGCCTGTTCATAATTACATCATGCTTAGTACTTTTCTAGGGAGTTAGGATGGTGGGGACAAAGTGTGACAGAGTAGAAAAGAAAATACAAAGGGACTTAGAAATCAGGTTTCAGATTAGGGTTCTACCACTAAATTACTATTTTGACCTTATATTACTAATTTTTAATGTTTGGGGGCCTCAAATTTTCTCATATGAAAATGGAGGTGGTGAACTTTGCCAGGTAGCTGTGAATTGTATTTTAGCACAAAATACCAGTGATGTGGTGATGGTTCATTGGAAAGGGGTGCATATTTTGAAGTAGGAGGAAGTAGAAAATCATTATAGGCAAAGGAAAATGAAAGAATAGAAACATGATAGTGAGTGTGAGCTGGGCTGACTGAGGAACAAGAACCATACCAAGGATTGAGGAGAGAGCTTGGGACAAAGTATTAGAGATAGAGGGAACTGGAAAGTCCTTGAACTCCATACTGAAAAGTGAATATTTTTGGTAGCTCTGTATAGGGGTGACATGGTAGACCCACCACTGATAAAAATTATTCTTGACAGTGTATTTGATTCTAGAGGCATCTACACACCTACTTCTGGTCCTTCAGTTCATATTCAGTTAGTTTGGGGTCATTTATAAAATCATGATTCTTCATTTTTGCTAGAACCTGTAGTTTTGGGTCTGCATTGCCAAGGCTTGTGCTATGGCTATTGGCAGGACCAGCTTAACCACATGCCCGTATATTTAAATTCATTCCATAATAGGCCATTTGGCTTCCACGGATAAAACATGCTAATACAATTTCTAATCTGAAATTCTAAGTGATGATGATCAGAGGATGAGAAAAAGGCCTTTGCAGGCAAGCAGAGTTAGATGGTTGTAGAAATGAAAGCAGATTAGGAGATCGAGGACAGTTTGAAGGAAGATGAGAAAAAATAATGGGTCTTTGTAGAATCTTTGACCTTATGGCTTAGATATGGGAGAATGAGAAAAGTGGTAAGGCCTGGGGTTCAGTACTTGCCTAATGGGTATAAGTCCTTGGCTTTCATCCCTAGCTC